AATTGTCCTGATTACTCACAACAGCAAGTATTAAAAAAAAAAATCACTGTCCTAAGAAATGTTCCCTTTCTTTTAAATATATTTTTTTTAGTTGTAAATAGGCACAATACCTTTATTTTATTTATTTATTTATTTTTATGTGGTGCAGAGTATTGAATCCAGTACTTTTGCTCTACCACTAAACTACAAACCCCAATCTGAAAATGTCCCCTTTTTTCAGAAAAATTTTTCCCTCTGCTGGGATTTTATATTCTCAGAGAAAAAGCGAAATCAATAATTAAAATTGTATTGACTATTTTAGGAAAAACCAGTTCAATCGTAACATAGTTATAAAACTTTCAGATTATTAAATTAGTAACTGTAAGATGTTTTTAACTGATTAAGTGTGGAGAAGGTATTCTGTTTTTTAAAATACCATAATTTTTGTCTTGTTGGTATAGCCTTCTCTTTTTAAAGCCCTTATATTCTGGCTCAGTGTTAGCATTGTCTGTGCCAAGGATTTCTTTGAGAACCTGATAAAAAGCTATGAATCATCCCAGAAGAAAAAAGTAAACACACACAAAAGTGTACATGTAATTTCAGGGTTTAAGAATCCCTTGAAATACCAGATTAACAATTCCAGTTCTAGCTTATCAATCATCAATGACATTTAACACTAAATAACATAACAGTTTTGCAAACTGTTCTCATTTCAATAAATCTTCTCTCGTTTGATTACTTCCTTCATCATGGTAACTATTGACTACAAATAGAAAAGAAACCTATTATTGCATAACTCTGAGTACTAACAATTTTTTTTAAGTATAGTTTAAAATAAGCAGCAAGATTTTTTTGGTGGTGATGATGGTTTTTGTTTTTGGATTTTTAATCTAAGCAGATTGTTTGATGGATAATTTTCCATTCCAATCAACCAATTACAACTCAGGCCAGTGGAAATGTAATGTACATTGACACTCCTCCCCTCAAAAAAAAGTCAACAATCACTCCCTCAAATCCTCAACCCGAAAACGTACCTTCTGACATTTAAGAAATGAAAAAGTTGAGTTTGGAATAGAATTCACAGCAAAATAATACCTACCTATGTATGGCATTGAATAAGAGAAAAATCATAGCAGTTTTACCAGAAGGAATAAAAATGTGCAAAGTAGAAAATAAAAGGTGCCAAAAGAAATTAGAAAAATCATATAGGAGAAAAATTCCAAGATAATGTTATTGGCTAAAATAAAATGCCAGATTATTCAGAGTTTAGTAAAGAAGTCTGAGGATCAAGCAATTTACATCAGATTCTGTGTTTAAGATGTAAATAGAACCCTAAATACATGTCTGAAGACACGAATGGTGTGACTCTACTTTGTGTCCAACCAGAGACATGAAAAATTGTGCTCTATATGTGTAATATGAATTGAAATGCATTCTGCTATCATAGATAACAAATTAGAATAAATAAATTTTAAAAAGAAGTAAATAGAGCAGTTTCAGTAGAGTAGGAAGGGAGAAGCTAAATAGCAGAAGATTAAGAAATCAGTGCATAGGGAGGAGGCACACAGGAGGACAAGGTATTCTGAGACCTCCGCAGGCCAAAGGATAACAGGCATTCTGCAAACGAAGGAAATCATGACAAAGTCAACAGAAACTTCTGTGAATCCAGTAACTCTGTACTGGGCACTGGGTACAAAGATATAAGGCATGCCCTCATCCTCTAGGGACTCACAGCCGAGTGAGAAAGACAGGTGGAGGTAGATTGTAATTGTAAGACATCATGAGGTCTGCCCAGAGGAGTATGGGAACACAAGGGAGCTTTCTCCAATCCAATCAAGGAGGGCAAGGAGATGCTTCCTAGAGGGTGGCGCCTGAACAAGGTCTTAAGGAGCAAGAAGCTATCACGTCAGAGGGAAAGGGCACTCTGGTCAGACAGGGCGTCATAAACAAATGCATGGAACAACTGTGTGGTATAAGAAAAAGTACAAGGCTGGGAGTGGTAGGAGTACCATAGTTATTGCTAATGTAGTGACTGAAATCATCTGCTGGGAAGACATCGAGGGTGGAGCTAGAAAGGCAATCAGGGCAAAAGGTACAGAGGCAAGGTGCCTGGAGCCTGCCAAACTGAGGAACCATGAGCTGTTGTCAAGAGACAACAGCAGGGTATCTATGGACTGAGAGGATACAGGGTTTAGAGTTCCCAGCAAGGTGAGAGACAGGTCAGCCAGGCATGTAACAAGAAGGGTACATTCCGAATGGGAGAGCCTGGAATCTGGGTTCCTGGAAATGAAACAGCCAGAATGGCAGTAACAGCCACTGAACAGGAAAAGAGAGAGGATCCTCGAAGAACACAAGGCGAAGTAGTAGGACCAATGAGCACGTGAAATTGAAGACCAGAGGCTATGACTGCCCAAAAGGCAGAAAGAAGAATGTGAAGTATGTAGTCAAGAGACATAAAATCAAGCCCTGACCTCACCTTGCAGCTTTGGGCAAGTTGACACACCTCTCCTAGGACTAAACAGTCATTTCAATTCCCAAAATTACAGTGGCCAGTTTTTCCATTTAGAAATGATGGCTTTAAGGATCAGAGGAGAGTCTTCCTAAATTTCATGAAAGAAACGACTTATTGCATTTACTACAAGAATTCACAAATGTTATATTACTGACTTTATTTGGTATAGGATCTTAGTCTTAAAATTTACAAAGCTCTTTCACATGTATCTCTAATATAATCCTGTGAGAGAATTCCTATTTTACCAATGAAGAAACTGAGATTCCATAAGGCTGAAGCAATAACTTTAGATTGGTAAACTAAATCTTTTTCTCTTACTACAAAGATTCTGTTTGGCTATTTGGTTCACTGAGAAAACCCAAGACTTACTAATATTTGGTTCAGAAAGTACTAGGCTACCCATTAATTGTCCTAAAGCTAAAAATGTCGTTCCAGGCAACCAGCCAATGACCCAATCACTGAAATGAACTGAAGGGCCTATCTAGACTCACTAAACTTTCATATTGTTGGAAGAAAGCTTTGTAAATGAAAGCAAATTAAACCAAGCTTTAAACTGGGATTGGTGGTGAACACCTGTAATCCCAGAAGCCAGGGAGGCCAAGGCAGAAGGATTTCAAGTTCGAGGTCTACCTCAGCAATTTAGGGAGGCCCTATGCAACTGAGTGAAATCCTGTCTCAAAATGAAAAATAAAAAAAATTAAATAAATGAGATATGGCTCAGTGGTGCAGCACCCCAGTTTCAATTCCCAATGCCAAAAAAAAAAAACCTTTATGTATAAATGTGGTAGAAAAAATAATAATAATCAATCCCTCTACTTAATTTAGTCCCTCTATTCTTGTACAATTACTATAAGGAGACCAGTACATCAGACCAATGGTTTTATTTTCATAACAATTATTTCTTTCTCTTTGGTATCTCCAGATAGTACTTGGGTCCCAGGTTGTTGATTATAATACCTGGTTCATACCAACTACATTTTAACATGATTTATCAAGAAAGCCAAGAAATTACTATGTCCTTAAAAGAAAAGCATGAACTTCAATTATTTATTAATTACCCTTTCCCTATTGGTTCAACCATTAAAAGTTCATTTTACGTAAGAAGGATATTATTTACTTCCTTGATGATTGCAAAAATCTAAATTTGATATTCTATTTTCTAAACTGAAGACAGTAGCTTCTTTCCTGAAAAGCACAGATCTAGTTTAGTTAAAGGCATTTACAAATACATTTTCAAGTCAGACACTACTTTATAAGTTAATTTCTGAAAGAGCTGCATATAATAGATTTCATGTTATGTAATTATTAACTTCTTGTAAAAATATCTCTCTGGTATCATTCTATGACCATTTAGCACCTTAAGATCAATGGCAAAAATTTGTAAATTCATAAATACAGAACACAATCTACAGGACATCCTCTACCAGACAGCATTTCATACCTAAATTCAATAAAAAGACAAATGGAAAGATAATTACTGAGTAGTTAATATGTACAAGACACAGCACCATGTAACAGCAACATTTTACCTAACAGAAACACTAAAATAACTGAGGATTATAATTTTGTGGTTATCTTAAGATCAAGCTGTGTAATATTCTGTCTCCCAAAATGAATATTTAAGATGTTCACTTAATAATTGGAAGAAAAAGATAAATATGGCTTTATATGTGATAACTTTACCAAATCTAGGAATATAAATTTATATTTATAAATAAATATATATATGTATACTTATAAGTTATATATAACTTTTCTTTATATGCTCAGAGTGTAAGAAAAAACAAAAAGCTACCTTCTAACAGATACATGTAAGTATAGAAAAATGAACCAGATCCTCATGTAAAACCAAAACAATACATGACAGCTGGGGATCTAGCTCAGTAGTAGAGCACTTGCCTAGTGTGCATGAGGCCCTGGGTCCAATCCTCAGCACTGAAAAAAAAAAAAAAACACTATAGGTGAATACAGAATGTCTGGCTTGAATTCTCTCATATCAGGTAAAGTTCTCATATCAGGTAATGTTCTCTCACTACCAGTTCATCCACCTCACTTGGCTCTTGACTCTACAGAAATACACAAAAATTTCAGCCTCAACAAGAGAGAAAATGGTCATGTTCCAAAGGTCCAATCATGATGAGTCCCTTCATCACCTGGTAATAGTGTCTACAAAAGCAGATCCAAAGGTTTCAGAAAAAATAACCTAGGAAGGAATTTGATAGAGACTCATTAACAACCTAAAAAGGATTTGTGCTTTCTTTCCTGGATCATTATTCCAGTGACTTAATCCAGCTCATATTGCAGCTCATCCTGAAAAATGAAAGAGGTTAACATGTCCTTTGTGGTGTAATCAAAAGGATCGATTTCAACTTCGAGGTGAACTACTCACATAAATTTCCAAAGACCCAAATTACCTAACTAAATGATGTGTATGCAGCAATCCCACCAGGTAGATTTCCTGGTTCAAACATTTTAATATCAAAATATAAATTACCACTATGATACTCACTTTTAGTTTCTTGTTCAGTTTACAGCAGTATCTGTACACCATTGCCAAGTTCAGAGGCCCAAAATCTGCATAGAAACTGAGATATAAAATATATAGATATAGTATTTAGAATAATTTTCAGTAACATCAATACTCACTTTTAATTTTATTAAATTTCAAATCAGATTTCAATTAACTTCAGGAATAAGGATCATTATGTAACTAATCTAACTCATGATAATCCAGGTAACTAATGGTCTTATCCTACTCTAGTTGTTCTAACAAGTCTCTTAACAGAAACCTTATACAACAGTTTTGAGTTCCACTTCCTTTTATCCTCCTGCTATGCCATCTAAGTAAAATAACTAAAATGCAGTCAAGGAAATAGCCAACATGCACACAGCCTACACACATACTGGTTTTATTTCTTTATTACCTACTTTGCCATAAAGCTTGTGTACTCTGGGTTCTGATTCCAATTATTCCATTTAAACACTTTCAATTCTCAGTTATCTTAAAAAATCCAATGGTTTTCTGTTTTCATTTTCTTCTTGAATTTTCTATTATAAGACATTCTGGCGCCTCTCTCTTTCTCCATCTCCTTACATCCCCAGGAAACAGTACTCAATCTGTAGAACTTCTCTTATGCATTATCATGAATCCATCTGGTAACCCAAAGGAAAAGAGGCATCTCTTGCATTTGAGATCAGCATCAATCTTTTTCCATCATCAATCTTTTTCCATCTTCAGCTACCTGCTGGACCTACCATCTACAGGCCTCCTAATATCTAAATCTCAGAATATCCAAAACCCGTCTTTCCTTTAAAACAGCCCTGAAGACTAAAAAACATTTTGCTTCTCCCAGTCACTCAGGCATGAAACCTCTCAAACACATAAGGCAAGAAAATAAATATTAATTTAATTCTTATGAATCAAGTAAACGTTACTACTCTAATTCCTCCCTTCTCTTCAGTTCCCACAATAACTGAAGTCAGATAAAGCTGGGCACAAGGCATTTACCTGTAATCTCAGCAACTCAAGAGGCTGAGGCAGGAGAATGACAAGTTTGAGGACAGTCTCAGCAACTTAGTGAGAACCTGTTTCAAATTCTTAAAAAATTTTAAAAGGACTGGGGAATGTTGCTCAGTGGTAAAGCACCCCTGGGTTCAATCCCTAGTACCAAAAAGAAAGAAGAAGTCAGAACAACTTTAGCAACAGAAGAACAGATCATTTTAATGACTGTACTGTTGCAATCCTCTCTCCCTCTCTCTATCATCCTGTATTTCACCACAGAAATCAATCTTTATAAAAATTTCACTTCTCACATATCCTCCCACTATTCAAAAATGCTGACTGACTCCTTACCACCTTTAAGAAAAATTCTTTGAGGACTGAGGTTGTGGCTCAGTAGTAGAGTGCCTGCCTAGTGTGAGGTACTGGGTTCGATCCTCAGCACCACAATAAATAAATAAATACATACATAAATAAATACATAAATAAATGTATTGTGTCTATCTACAACCAAAAAATATTTCAAACAATAATAATTATTATCATTTGTCCCACCAATCAAAGTCCTAAAGAGCATGCCTCTAGCTTCCAGGTTCTAGAATGGAACCTTTATTTCAATATGCATATCCATTCCTTATTTCTAAATATTCCATGCATATTCTTAATATAAGCCTCTGTTCACATAGGTTTCCTTGCCTAGAATGTTGTCCTTTTCTCTTTCTGCAATCCTCCAGCTCCCTCAAATCTAACCTTCTTCACAAAGCCTTTCCAATTTCCCCTAAGAAATATGAACTACCCTCTGCTCAAAGCCCTTATCCTTTCAACCAAGTATACATGATACCACATATTGTCAAGGATTTTAAATGCAAGCTCTCTCTGATCAACTACAACCTAAGACTTTCTGTCAAGGACTGAACTTTTTTATCTTATATACTTTGAAGAATGCTCTACGTGTGATACAAAACTTCAAGAAGGGAGTCTTCATAATGAATAGTTTGCTTATTAATGCACTAAATTCAATTTAGCTCAGACCACACATTTACTAAATTCCAAAAAAGTTTGCAAAATTCCATCCCCAAAACACCCTTATTTGGGGGGAGTCATTTAAGTTTTTATGCCACCCAGATTCCACTATCATAAGTATGTCATTATATTATATCAAAACTGCCAATAGCCATTTGCCTTAGGTAAGTAAAGAATACTAAACTTGTGTATTTATGTTATGTGTGTTAGGCAAGTAGGTAATATTTTGAAACTTGTATTCCAGGTAGCACCAAAATTAGCTGTCTCAGTATTCAGGCATCACGAGAACAGCAACGCAGAAGGAAGCTTACAGATTGGAAATAAAAGTTCTCAACTTATTTCTAAAGTTCCCAGTATAGTGCTTGGCTATGAATATAAACAAAATACACAAGGAATCCAAAATGAACTAGATCTATAGCCTAATCACTGACAAGTCTAAGACCAGTCAACAAGAGCCCACCCAAAAAACAACAAGATGAGGATTGTAGGTAAAGTTCAGTGTTATGATGCTCTAGGCTCAATCCCAACACCAGAAAAAAAGAAGAAGAAGAAGAAGAAGAAAGAACGAAAAGAAAAGAAAACTATATATAAATATGTACCTGCCCAGTGGTGATTAAGGCTACCCTGTTTCTATAACAGAGATTTTCTTGTCCTTAGGCTACTGAAAGCAACACTTTTGACTAACATTCCTTGTTTTATTTCTACTTGAACATGAATATTGATATTTGTAGAATTTTATATTAAATTTTGAATTTTTAGTTCTGTTATTTCAGCTTTTTAAACTCATTTTTAACAAGCTTCAGAAAAGCACAAAAATTCAAGTTATCTAAATTCTAATTTCATATTAACCATTACAAGGCAACTTCAATTTCAAACACAATATTACAATATAAACAATATTAACCATATTGTTCATAAAAGCATGTGCTTTTATGAACAATATGGTTAATAAATAGACATTTTTTTACCAAATGCCAACATAAATTAATATACTCTTATAACAAGGGAAAAATAAATCAAATACAGTCCTCATTCTTACATTGATCTATATACTCCAACATGGTAGCTAATGTGGTTATTTAAATTTAAATTAACTAATGCTAAATAAATTAAAATTTCAGGGGTTTTTTTGCCATCTCTTGAAATGTGTTCAATAAGACAAAGATGTTCACTCTTACCACTCCTATTTAATATAGTACTAAGAATTCTAGCCAGAGCAATCCAGCAAGAGAAGGGAACAAAGGGATAAAAATAGGAAAGGCAGAAATAAAATTATCACTGTTTTCAGATAACATGATCCTATTCTTAGAAGATCCAAAAAGTTCAACCAAAAGACTGCTAGAGCTAATAAACAAATTCAGCAAAGTAGAAGGTTACAAAATCAACAACTTTCCTATGTACCAATAATGAATCTGCTGAGAAAGAAATCCAGGAAAAAAAAAAAAAAAACATAGAAATAGCTAAGGACATGAAAAAAAGTCTTCAATGAAAACTAAAGAACACTGAAGAAAGAAAATGAAGAAGATACAAGAAGATGGAAAGACTTCCCATGTTCATAGATAGGCAAAATCAATATTGTTAAAATGGTCATACTACCAAAAGTAAAACAGAGATTACACATAATCTCCCTCAAAAGACCAATGACATTCTTCACAGAATTAGAAAAAACAGTCCTAAAAATCATTTGAAAAATAGCCAAAGCAATTCTAAGCAAAAACAAACAAACAAACAACAATGCTGGAAGCATCACAATAACTGACTTCAAATTATACTACAGAGCTATAGTAACAAAACCTGCATGGTACGGGCATTAAAACAGACACACAGACCAAGGCTACTGAACAAAAGACACAGAGACAAACCCACGCAGATACAGTCATCTAATCCTTGAAAAAGATGCTGAAAACATGTACTGGAAAAAAGATAGCCTTCTTAAAAAATGGTGCTGGGAAAACTGGTTATCCATATGTGAAAGAATGAAACCAGGCCCTGTGTCTCATCCCACACAAAAATCAACTCAAGATGGATTAAAGACCTAGGAATTAGACCAGAAGAAAATGTAGGGTCAACACAGGCACAAGCAACAACTTTTTCAATAGGACCTCTAAAGCTCAGGAAATAATGCCAAGAGTTAATAAATGGGATGGCACCAAATTAAAAACCTTCTGCACAGCAAAGGGAACAATTAGGAATGTGAAGAGAGAAACTACAGAATGGGAGAAAATCTTCACTAGCTACTTTCTTGACAGAGGATTAATATCCAGAATATATGAAGAATTCAAAAACAATACAAAAAAAACCCTCAAATAACTCAGTTAATAAATGGACAATAAACTAAACAGAGACTTCTCAAAAGAAGAAATACAAATGGCCAACAAATATATGAAAAAAAATGTTCAACATCATTAACAATTAGGGAAAAACAAAGCAAAACTACACTGGGATTTCATCTCACACCAGTCATCAAGAATACAAACAGTAAATGTTGGAGAGGATGTGGAGAAAGGAACACTTTTACACTATTGGTGGGATTGTGAATTAGTACAACCACTAATGAAATCAGTATGGAGGTTCCTCAAAAAACTCAGCTATACCATTCCTTTGTACTTATCCTAAAGAATTAAAGACATGCCAGGTGCAGTAGTACATGCTTGTAATCCCAGTGGTTTAGGAAGCTAGGGCCGAAAGATCAAAAATTCAAGGTCTGCCTCAGCACCTTAGGGAGGCCCTAAACAACTGAGTCAGATCCTGTCTCAAAACAAAAATCAGAAAGGGCTGCGAATGTGGCTTAGTGATTAAGCACCCCAGTACAAAAACAAAAACAAAATTAAAGTCATCATACCATAGTGATGCAAGCATACCCATATTTATAGCAGCACAATTCACAATAGCCAAACTATAGAACCAGCCTAGACGTCCATCAATGGATGAATAAATAAAGAAAATGTAGTATAGGTACACAATGGAATTTTATTCAGCCATAAAGAAAAATGAAATGATGTCATTTGCAGGAAAATGGATAGAACTTGAAACAATTATGTTAAGCAAAATAAGTCAAACCTG